TATCATCTAGGAATTTTACAGTTTTGTCTTTTACATTTAGAATTAATATTTTAGTTTTTCTGCATGTGAATATCTAGTTGTTGCTGCATCATTTGTTGAAAAGACTGTCTTTGCTTCATTGTATGCCTTTTCTGTTTTGTCAAAGGGCAGTTGACTAGTTTGTGTGAGTCTCTTTTTGGCTCTCTATTGTGTTCATTGATGTATTTGTCTATTCTTTCACTAATAACATATTTTCTTAATTATTGTAGCTTTATAGTAAGTCTTGAAATCTGATAAGTTGAGTGTCGAATTTTGTTCTTCAATATTGAGTTGGCTATACTGGGTCTTTTGCCTCACCATATAAACTTTAGAATCAGTCTGTTGATTTCCACAGAATAACTTGCTGGGATTTTGACTGGGATTGCATTGAATCTATAGATTAAGTCAGGGAAATTGACATCTTGACAATGGTGAGTCTTTCTATCCATTAACATAAACAATTTCTCCATTTATTTACTTTTTATTTGGTCTTTGATAGCTTTCCTTGGAGTATTCAAGTTTTCCTCATATAGATATTATATGTATTTTGTTAGATTTATATCTGTTTTATTTGGGGGTACAAATATAAGTATAAGGTATTTTAAATTTCATATTCCATTTATTCATTGTTGGTATAGAGGCAAGCAATTGACCTTTGCATGTTAATGTAGCATCATGCAACCTTACTATAAAGGTTCATTATATAGTAAAGTTGAGTTCTTTGGATTTTCTACATAGACAGTTATGCCTTCTGTGAACAAAGGAAGCTTTACATTTTCCTTCCCAATCTTCATACATTTTATTTCCTTTTCTTGTCTGATTGCATTAGCCAGGACTTCCAGTATTATGTTAAATAGGAGTGATGACATGGACATACTTGTCTTGTCTTGATTCTTAGCAGGAATACTTCTAATTTCTCACCATTAAGTATGATACTAGCAGTTAGATTTTTTATTTTGTTGTTGTTTTGTAGATGTTCTTTATCAAGGTGAAAAATTCCCTTTTATTCTTATAGGAGTTTCTGTCATTAATGAGTGTTAGAATTTTTCTTTTTTTGAGAGGTTTTTGCTATAGGGCATGTGCGCTCACCAGAAAGGCAGAGACAGAAAGTGAGAAATCACTCCCCGCCCCTAGGAGGGGTGGCTACGTCACAATCCCTTCTCCTCCATTCTCCTCTCGGGATCTTGGGGACGCACGCACACGCACCTGGCATGAGTTTAAGCCAATGGGTCCGGGACTCGAACTGCGGTCGGCTACAAGGGAGTTCAGTGACATAGCCATTACACTAACTGCTGGTCCCCAATGAGTGTTAGATTTTTGTCAAATGTTTTCTCTATATCTATTGATAAAATGTTTCTTCTTTAGCATGTTGATGTGATGGATTACATTAAATGATTTTCGAAAGTTGAACCAGTCTTGGACACCAGGGATAAATTCCACTTTGTTGTGGCATATACTTCTTTGTATACATTGTTGGGTTCAATTATATCTAGTCATCTATGTTCATGAGAGATATTGGCCTGTAGTTTTCTTTTCTTGTAATGTATTTGTCTGGTTTGGGTATTAGGGTGTTACTAATCTCATGAAATGAGTTTGGAGGTATTCTCTCTTCTATATTATGGAAAAGATTGTAGAGAATTAATATAATTTCTTAAATGTTTGGCGATTCACTAGAGAACACATCTGGACCTGGTTCTTTCTGTTCTGGAAAGTTATTAGTGATTGATTCAACTTATTTAACAGATAGATACTCAGATTATCTGTTTTTCTTGTGTGACTTTTAAAATAATGTCTTTCAATGAATTGATCAATTTCATCTCATTTATAAAATTTGTGGACATGCAGCTATTCATAGTATTCCATTAATTTTTTTAATGTCCATTCTGTAGTGTTTTCTCTTTTATTTCTTATATTAGCAATTTATATCTTCTCTCTTTTTTATTTTTAATTAGCCTGGCTAGAGGCATATTGATTTTATTGATCATTTCAAAGGAGCAGCTTTTGGTTTAATTGATATCCTCTTTTGATTTCTTGTTTTCAATTTAATTGACTTCTGCTCTAATTTTTATTACTTATTTTCCTTGGCTTGCTTTAAATTGCTCTTCTTTCCTACTGTCATAAGGTGGAAGCTTGAATGATTGCTTTTACATCTTCCTTTTTTTTCTAATCTATGCAATAAATTCTATAAATTTTCTTCAAAGTATACTACTTTTTCTGCACCCCACAAATTTTGATAGTCATGGTTTTATTTTCCTTTAGTTTAAAATCATTTTTAATTCTTTTGAGATTTCTTCCTTTGGTCATTCATGATTTAGAAAAACTATAGTTTAATCTCCCAGTATTTTTGTGTTTTCCAACTATTTCTCTGTTATTGATCTCTATCTTGTGGTCTGAGACCAGACATTGTATGACTTCTACTCTTTTAAATTTGTTAAGATATGTTTTATGGCACACGATTTGATCTATCTTGGTACGTGTTTTATGTAAGTTTGAGTAGAGTATATAATCTGATCTTTTCAGGTGAGTAAGCTATGGCTCTCAATTATATGCAGCTGTTGAGTTCAACTATGTCCTTACTGATTCTGCCTTATGGATCTATCTATCCATGTCTGATGAAGGTATGGTAAAGTCTTCAATATAACAGTGAATTTATCTATTCTCCTTGGGTTTCTATCATTTGGGGGTCTTACAGATTGATAGGCTCTGTTATTAAGAGCATATATGTTAAGGATTGTTGTATCTTCTTGGACTCCTTTGTCATTATGTAATACCCCTTTTTATTCTTGATTACTCTCCTTGCTCTGTTTGAAATTAATTTATCTACTCCCATTTTCTTTTGATTAGTGTTAGCAAAGAACTTTATTTTAAATCCAATTTAAGACTTTTCCCCTTTTAAAGCCTGTTTGAGATTTGTTAGTGATCCTAGTAAAATTGAAAGAGTCCTTTCTAACAACTACAGAATCTCCTTGTTATGTAACTTCTATGAACTACCAAGGAGTTGATTTTCTGGGGAACACACATGTTTTTATTCACCAATAAAGGGGTTAATGCTCAAATTAGCAACCAAGACAGTGATAGAAGCCTTGAGATGAACAAGGAACGTAGTGGGCACTTGCAGCAAGAGAGACCACTATGTGCATTTTTCTGAGAGAGCTGAGTATGAGGATCTCCAGGTCCCACTTCTGAACCTACTTGAGGTTTGAGGGTTGCCCTACTCCAACTCTGGGCACCTACTTCACCATAATCACTACTTCACCATAATCACCACAAAGAGGCTTTGCTGGAATGCTTGTGCTGGGTGTCTTAAAGAACCAAGTATAGACCCTGGGCTTCCAGCAGTGCCCCCTGTTGACAGGTTCATTTCTTTCTTATTCTTTTTTCTCCTTTATTCCTTTATTCCTTCCTTTCCCTTCCCTTCCCTTCCCTTCCCTTCCCTTCCCTTCCCTTCCCTTCCCTTCCCTTCCCTTCTCTGCTTTCGATTACCAGAGGGGGTATGGGCACTTGCCAGAGAGAGAGAGAGAGTGAGTGAGAGCAAGCAAGCTCCTCCAACAGGCCATGGTCAGGCCACAATTCTCCATTTCTCCATCTTATCAGGGTTTTTAGCATACACATACATAGTACCCAGGAGGCAGGACTTGAACCACCTGGTTGGCCATGTGGGATCCAGCTTCCCTAACTACTAGGCTACGGTCTGGCCCCAGGAACATTTTTTTCAATGCCCCTCTATTTTTTGGCAGCTTCAAACCTCAGTCATCTTGATTCTTTTCTCCCTGTATTGTCCCCTAACACTGTTGGATCAACTGTCATTTTTTATTTATTTATTTATTTTTCTGAGCTTACTCTGAGACCTGCCTGAGTGCAGAGAACATGGACATAATCTAGTACCAGCCTAGGGCAAGAGGCAGGCACTCAAACTCCTGTTGGTCCTCAACTCAGCTCCTTCCGCATCAGCCATGAATTTACACAATAGGTCCTTGACTCCATCTCTGGCCTTCTCCACGCTGATGCAGCTCCCTAGAAAAGCCAGACTGATGTTCACAGATAGTAACATCCTCCATCTCTGTCAAAAGTCTCCCCAACTTTGTTGTGACTGGCTCACAGCAGCCAGACCACTTCATGAAGACAGGGACCTTGTCCCTTTGTGGACACCATTACACCCCCAGGACCTAGTATAGTGCCAGACATTTAGTGGGCATGTGGTAGGTATTGCAGAGAGAATGAGAGAAGCATGGCATTCCAGGTCCTTTATAACCTGGCCCTCCTGGCTCTGTAGGCTTTGTCTTCCAAGATTCCCAGTGGACTGTCCCTTGTAGGGAGACATCTCGACTGAGGAGGGAGGGGCAAGGCCTCTGCCCTGGGTTGGCCCTGCCAGGTAAAGGCTTGATTGATGGTTTATAGAAGAGGGAGGAATTCGGAGAGCTCAGTAACCCATCCAGTGAGGGCTGGCGAGTGACAGGGTCTGCACTTGTGTAACTCACCACATCCCAGGACAACCCTGAAGGGGGCTGTCAATGTCCCATTTAACAGGAGTGCATAGGGTAGAGGAGGGTGAATCCCTGCGCCATGGCCATGGCGCTAGCAAGCTGCCTCTGAGCCCTGACTTGTGTTTGTGAACCCTCTACCTTCCACCTGACTTCTCCCCCAACAGTGGGGGTGGGGAGGGGAGAGGGAAGAGAAGACACCGAAGCCCGCGCTGGCTCAGCCAGGCCCCTTTTTCGAGGCACCAAGAGCTAAAGGAAAGCATCGTCTCTGTTCTTGGGCAGGGGAAGGCGAGCCCGACTTCCTGGACACCTGTTACACCCGGGTCCTGGGGTTGTCCTGATGCCCAGGGAAGTTCCTGACTTCCAGAGTCTGAGTCTTGAGCCCGTAAAGGTGTCAGAACAGAGGGCGGCTCCCAGCAGCAGAGCCGCGCAGGGTCCACCGGAAGTCAGAACGCGGGGTATCATCCCGCCGGCTCCATTTCCTGTTGCTGCAGTAATAAATGACCGCACACTCGGAGGCTTAAAACGACACCACTTACACTCATTTATGAAAGAATGCCTGAAATAAATGTGTTTATGTAAGTGCAAAACAAAGCCCCCGAAAAGCCCCGTTTATTTCCTTACAGTTGTGGAGCCCGAAGCCGGAGATCAGTTTCACTGGCTAATGGCTAACGTCAGGGTGCAGCAAGGCTGGCCCCCTCTGGAAGCACAGAGGGAACCGGTGTCCATGCAGTGGCTCTTCCTGGCCTCAGTCCAGGCTTTCATCATCACATTGTCTCCTCCTCTGTAGTAAATGACTTTCTGCTTCCCTCTCATAAAGGTGCTGTGGACCTCCCTCAAGATTCTTAATGTCATTTTATGTGCAGAGTCCCTTTTGTCCTGTAAGGTGACATCCACAGGTCCCACTGGGGGCTGCTCTCCAGCCTACCGCACCCTCATTAACCACTTCCTGCCTGGTCGGTTTGGAGTCCCGCACTGCACCTCTGGACCCTCAGCTTCCTCCCGATTCCCCCTGCAAACTGATGTCAGTGGTGGCTTTCAAGAGCGAGTGGAATGAGAAAGCGAGTGACTCTGGAGTTCAGGGAATATTGATTCTAGTGGCTGCCCTTGATTTTGCATCCCAGAGCCGCCCTTAGCTCTCAGCCCTGCCCAGGCTGGGCCGGGGCACACAAGGGCAGCTTTCACACGCAGAGGAGTTTCGGGAGGGAGGAGGGACTTGAGGTACATTTCCTTCCAGAGCCCCTCCTATCTGCCTTTATGCCAGCCGTGGGGCCGAGGGACACTGGTCTGGGCCCTGTGGCTTTGCTCTGATGACAGTATTTGGAAAGCAGGACTGAAGGCTGGGGGAGGCACCATGCCACCTCAGTGGGCTGGGGCCCTCTGATGGTCCTGTGCACTGGGTGAGGGGACACTCCATCCACTTCCTCAACCACAGGTGGCTGCCACACCTGATGTGCGTGCCAGTCTCCTGGTGCTGTGTGGACAGTTGGTGCTCAGTACACGTGGGCACTCCTCTTCCACCCCGGCTTCTTGCTTCTTGTGGGCAGTGCTGGACTCCGTGCTCCTGCCCTCCTTAGGTCTGGGCAGCCAGGGGAGGTAAAGGTCAGTGGTCAGCAGTCACCTGCAGCTGTCACCGCTAACTGGGTGACTGCAGTCCCTAGCTGCCTTGTGCTCCCACAGCAGCTGTGAGGATGGAGAGGGACACAGCCGCTCTCCCTATGGTGGCAGGGACAGGATGGCAAGTGCGGCCACTAAGGGGAGAGTCCGTGCCTCACCCTTCTCAGGGCATTTGCCCTTTAAAGGAGAGACAGGGTTGAGACCCTGAGAGAGGGAGGACTGGAGGAGCCACTGGGCGTGAGGTGGGGTGGAGACACTGGGGGCCGGGGGCCCGTGTGACTCGAGGATGGCTCAGAGGACCAGCGATGAGCACTGACATTGGCAGCTTTGTCTGCGATTCGAGAACATGATGTCCCCGTGTCACAGACAGGAGGGGTTAGGGCAGGGGAGGCTCTGGAGGGAGGGGATCTGGAAAGAGCTGCAGACTGAGTACCACCCTTGCCTCTGAGGGCTTTTCACCTAGACTAACAATCATCAAGTCCATGGGCCACTTTACAGTTATTTTAAAGGTATCTTTAAAGTGCTTAACAACGAGCTCTACTCTTGCTCAGGGGCTTTCTGGGAGTGCACTAGGAAACCCAAGCCCGCTGCATATTCTTGTCCTCCCCTCCCTCCTGCAGGACTCTGAGGCTCTGAGCCCTCTTTCCAGAGGCCTCCTTTTATGCCAGGAAAGACTCCATCTTGGAAGCCTTGGATGAGAAGCAGAAACATCCCAACCATCTGATCTGGGGAAAACAAGCCCTTTGGAAGTCCAAAACACACCGAAGAAAATGATATTGCTTTGAGGCCTCAGAGGTAGGCTGACCAGGGGGAGTGTCCCCTTCCCTAGCAGACCCAGCACCCCAGGGTCCAGGCCCAGATGGCCTGTGCTGTGGGGAGAGGGCAAGGGGAGAGAGAGCCCTCTGTCCTCTGGAGGTGGGTCCTGGCCTGAGGTTCTGGTGGGTGTCCTGGGGCCCATAGTGTTCTTTCTTATATCAGGGAGGTCTGCGGGGAGGCGGGGCAACCCTGGATTTCTGGCCCCAGGGTTAGTTCTTCCTATTTGTGATGGAGACAGAGCCCTGGGAGCAGCCACCCAGAGCCCTTCAAGAAAGCATTTGCGGGAACCAGCAGTTAGCATAATGGCTATGTTGCTGAACTCCCACGGAGTAGACCATGGTTCGCGTCCTGGACCCGGTGGCTTAAAACTCATGCCGGGCGCATGTGTGTGCGTGCCCAAGATCCCTAGAGGAGAATGGAGGAGCAGGTTTGCGGCGTGACCATCCCCCCTGGGGGGTGATTTCTCGCTTTCTGTCTCTCTCTCTCTGTCTGTCTGGCGAGCACACGCGGC